AGCCCATTTCAGTTATTTTAGCTAATTTCCTAATTTTGTGATCATTTCTGCTTATTTCAACTCAAATCCGTAAATATGTGTTCTTTCTGCTTTCTTCTGCTAATTTAAGCTTGTTCTTCCATTTCAGCTATATTTCAGAATGTTTTTTAGCTCATTTCAGCTGTTTTTCAGCAAGTTCTTCTGCAATAAGCATTCACACTGCATTTTCACAGGAAATGCAATTTCTTAAGTTTTTTGTTTGTTTTCATGCTGCAGCTGCTCTGAGGAGATTTCACAGCACATCTGATTCTGCCTGAGTTAAGCTGAGCTTTTATTGTGAAAATAAAACTGTTCATTTTTGCTGGATTTCTGATGTTTAGACTTGTGATCCAACAATTACAAGGTGATAACTTTGTATGCGTAAACAGCTGATTTAAAATAAAAGTAGATTCGGTACTGCAGCAGATGTTGGGATAATAATAAAAACATTCAATGAAATTACAATTTTTTTTAATGAACATTAAAAAATGGTAAATAGATTTTTCATAAAATGAGATTAGAAAGCTTCAAGCCTCCACTTCAACCAAATATCTAATATTTTTATTTGTTGGGAACATTCTAAACACGTAAAGACTAAAAGTAGAAAAGTGTGTCGTCTCACTCACAGCACTCCAGTCAGTGTGGTACCACTTGGCTCCACAGGCCTTCAGGTTGCAGCTCTGCTGACTGAGGGGTCGGTTCAAAGACGAGCATTCATACGGCGGCATGACGGTGATTCCTTCATCTGACTTCATTAAACACACCACTGACCTCTGCTGGCTGCCAGGACCACACTCCGCAGAGCACTGGATCCCAAAAACAGGCAAAGAAAGGAAAAACCTGACATATATAAGAGTTTTTGCTAAATTCTATGTAACAAACTTCTCCTTGAACCACCAGTCACTTGTCATCTTCATACCTGACTCCAGGGACCTGTGAACCATTCAATGTGATTCTCACAGGGGCCATTGTTGCAGACCTGAGAGTCTGCAGGTCGCTCGCTGCCGCATCCCTCCAGAGGAAGACTGCTGATGTGGTTGGTCAGGCAGAGAACCCCCCTGGTTCGCACGCCCATCCCACATTCAGCAGAGCACTGTGGTACAAGAAGGTGGAAGTTAAACGTCTTAAAAAAACAAAACCACCATAGAACACCACTGCAAAAACTGATGTTGCCTTATTTCCAAATGAAGACAGGCCTCCATGTTCTAAAAAAACTAAATAAAGTTACTGCCTCCCAGTGACTCTCACACACACCCTGGTGCCCCAGTTTGTGTAGAACCAGCTCTTAGCGCAGGCTCCCATGTCACAGTTTTCTACATCGACGGGCCGTAGATTCATGTTGCACTCGTCATCAGGAACAAAGTCGCCCACGTTGCTCACACAGCGAACATCTCTGGACCTCTGACCCAGCCCACATGGCACTGAGCACTGCAAAGACAAACTACAAGGTTATTATTGCAGACTGTGCTGCCTTTAATCTCAAACACACATGACGTTAAAAAAAAAAAATCAATATCTGAGTTCAACATGCACCCCGGTCTGTTTTCATGTTAATCTCATCAAAGTGATGCTGAGCAGATATGGAACAGGACAGTGCGACTCTGCCTCTGTGGCCGACTGCTGCCACTCACAGCGGTCCACTCGGAGCGGATCTGCCACTCACTGCAGATCTTCAGCTGGCAGGTACTGGCTGTTTCGGGTTGCTCCAGGTGTCGGCAGCGGCTCGTGTAGACGTTGAGGGTGCGGTTGGCGTAAACCTGACGGCACAGGACCTGCCGGTGCTGCATGCCCAGGCCACACGTCTTGCTGCACTCGGACCACTCTCCGATATCCCAGCTGATTAAAGGAAAACAAGATGCCAGGGATGTTACATGCATTGTTTTTATAAATGCTACAAACAGACGGCAACACATGTCGGCTGCAGCTGTGTTTTAGAACCAAACCTTTTAACCTTAAAAGCCTTTGCTTGATCCAAACCACTGAAGACCAGAAACATCCCATAGAGGCTTCAGGTGTGGATGTGCTGTGACACAAAGCCATCATAATATGGCTCCAGGAGAAGTCACTAAAACCATTAGGTTTAGCCATTTTATTTACTTCTAAAATACCAATTTTAAGGTCAGAACATTCACTTTTTTCACCCAGTTAAGTTTTCAATTTAGGTGTCAGTGGTCATAATGTTAGAGCGGACTGATTTGTCCTAGACATACAGTAGTCCCTCGCTATTTCGCGGTTCGCTTTTCGTGGACTCGCCCTATCGCTTTTTTTTAAAGTACTGTACATCCATCCATCCATTATCTTTTACCTGCTTCTTCCATTTTGGGTCACGGGGGTCGCCGGTGCCCATGTCCACCAATCATTGTGCAAGGAGCGGGGTACACCCTGGACAGGTTGCAAGTCCATCACAGGGTTAGTACAGTACTGTACATAGTTTTTTTTTTTTTTTAATGCAGCGTTTTTGTAGTTTTCTTTAATTAGGCCTTCACAGTTTAGCCAGTCTAAAGAACTGTGTTACCCAGAAGCCATCAGTTCACTTCCCAGAAGTCAACACTGCTTCCAACCACTGCTTGCTGCAAATGGAGGGAAAGTTTTGCAACATAAAATCAGAAGTTCTGCAAAGATAAGCTCACAGGACTGGCAGGAAAGTCACAAATAATTCTGAAGCTGAACTCATCCTTCAAGTTGTATCTTCACTGCTGAGCAGCTGGACTGCAGCTGATCCAGAATCAGTCAGTGTGACCCAGATCCTGGGAGCTGCAGATGACAGACAGCTGCAGGGTTCAGTCAGGTTTTGGTCGCGCAGTGCTGGTCCAGACTGGGCCAGAGGTGGTTGATTAAATCCTGGGCAGCAGCACGCGCACATCAAGCTGCATAGAGCGGTGGGCTTCAGTCCTGCTGTACCGAGACTTTTTTCATCTATCGGGTCGGACCGGAACCGAGCCACTATTATATTGCAGAGCCTGGTAAGTAAAATGTTGTAGCTCCTGTACATAAAAGTACTGTATGTTGTTAAAATTAGTGGGTTTAAGAGTTTAGAGGACTGATTGTGGGCTTCATTGCTGCAGGAAAGGTCTGCAGAAATGAACTGAGTCGAAATAAAACAGTTGGACCGGAACCAGAGCTGTTGATGTTCTGCAGAGCTAGTACTGGTAAGTAAAATTTAGTAACATATGTTGTTAAAATGACGTAAGTTTAAGAGTTTAGAACATTCCAAGCATGTGGGAAGGGTTTCTAAAGCCTTAATATAAAGTTTACTCTACTTGAACTTGAACTTGTACTACTATTCTTACTTCATGGTTTTTCACTTATAGCAGGGCTTCAGGGTACGGATCCCCTGCGATAAACAATGGACTACTGTATACAGAAAGAGGTGACTGAATAGTAATCTGATGAGGTTAAAGTGTGATTTCTTTACAATGCTGGGCATGGCTGCAGGTTGCAGGCCTCCTCCTGCGGCGTCGGGCGCCCGCTGCTGTCACACAAACCGTCCGACACCTGAACGTGGTTCTGCCGGTGCACGCAGTGAAAGACTGAATACCTGAAACCTGAAAAAGCAAATATTGGGTTTTTACCACTTCCTTAATGGATATTGGCCAGTCATACAACAGCACAAGACTCAAACATTAGCTGCAATACAAGTGTTTTTCAACATGATTAGTTAGCATTTTATTCAGCTGGAAAATAAAACTCAACTGCATCTTTGCATCTGTTAGAACTGAGTGTGATGATACCAACAGATATTGCACCCAAAGAGCATCCTCTGACCTTTTCCACAGGTGGCGCTGCATTCTGTGGCACCAGCCAGTTTCCAGTTGTACTGTCGCTCACGTCTGGGTGGTTGGACGGCAGGTACCTGGTTGTCAGGGATGCGAGGGGGATATCTCCCCCCTCCTGCCGGATTTGAGTGTTCCTGTTGTGCGTTATTGTGCTGGTTGTGTTCATTTGGTCCAGTCGTGGGTTTTTCTGAGATACACAGCACATTCATGATCAGGTGATTAGTTGGTCATATGTAGAGCTACAACTAATGCTTTGTTTTATTAAGGATGGTTGTTGACCTGATAAGTCATTTTCTCCTGTCAATGGGTTTAGTTTACCTTCTGATCTGTGGTTTGGCTGCTGAGGCACAACAGAGTTCTCCGAGGGCAGCATGTATTCGTAGTAAACACCTGGATTTGGCTGCTGGAAGATCATCTGAGGAAAAGTGGATGGGACTCCTCAAACTATCTTGTGGTTCCTTCATTTTGTTTAACCATTTTTCTCTCCCATATGTTCCATATGTTCTCTCAGGTCAAACCGTTTTCCATATATTAGAAGAGATTTTGGGGTGTTTTTTGTTATACTCACATAAACGTCCAGGACTTCATTGGTGGGGCCTTCTGCAAGAAATGATTCTCCTGCTGTGGTACTGATCTCATTGGGTCTGCGGTAGGTGAACATGGTCCCTCCACCCTCGTACTTCCCCGGTCGGTCAATGGCCCAGTTTCCATTAATAATGGATCTCCCAGAACGGCTTCGCAAAGCTGGAAGAGACCAAGGTAATGACACATTCACCACCAGAGACACAGAAATAATAACAATAATAAAAGAAAAAGGGCAGCTAATTGAGGATGGAGAAAAGCTCTTAAAGCAATGTGACAAAGTGTTTGTGCTGGCAAATCTTTCATGCAAACCTTGCAACAAAATCCGCCAAGATGTTTTCCACTGATTTCATGGATTAAATGCAGGGAGCCATTAGGAAAGAATTAAGAACGTAACATTAGACAGGGTGGTAAAAGAGAGCATTTGGACAACTAAAAGCACTATTAGATGCCCACAGGAAGGAACAGAGGCCTATTGAGAAAAAACACATCTAGGACACAGTGAGGATCCTGTAGGTGATTCCAGCGAGACTTTAGCTCTTATCATGCTCCCATTAGGGAAAAGCTTCAACGTAAACATTTTAAATGTATAATAGCCATGATTTATTGCCAGCTACTCTGCTTGATTTGTGTATATTTGTAAAACTATAGGAGCAAATGCTGTAGAGCTAAATGAGTGTGATCATATATATTTCCTGTGTAAGAAAATTGTCAGTTTAAATGAAAGAAAGCAGAAAAATGTGGCCTGTGAAGCTGAACTCGCCGAAAGGTAGCAAATGATTCCTTTTATTTGTACTACTCAGAATTAGAATAAGCTTTATTGCCATTGTACAGTGAAGTACAACGAGATTGTATTCTGTACAGTTGTCCGAAAGATGGGCAGAGTGTACGTGGCTGCAGCTCCTATAGGAGCGCGACCCTTTATTCTTTAGGTAGGAAAAGGGGAAAGACCATGAAGATAGTGGGTATTAAAAAACCCCGATCTCCTCACACCTTGTTCTTGTCAGGACACAGTTTAAGACATCAAAACAAAAATCTACCAGCAAGCACATTTATAAACACATTATATATGCATTTGACGACAAGACGGTGAGATTTGTCCATGAAACACTTCCAGTGTCAGCCGGTACAGCTCTGATAAGCTATCACTGAAGTTTTTTTTTTTTTTTTTTTGGGGGGGGCGGGGGGGGGGGAGATAGAGCAGCGCTTTGTTGGTTTACAATCCCCAGGAGAAATTTGATAAGTTGGGCTAATTTTTCCAAGTGGTCAAATTCCTCCTAATTGGAACAGAATGATGGGTTTGAGGGTGAGATCCTTTAATGAAAACAGGTTTACTGTATACTTCCTCAAGTGGGCGAGATCAGGTCTGTCCCCCACTTTGTAGCGACAAGGCTCTCGTTAATTTCAGGCAGTCCAACAAGTCACATCAAAACATTACCCAGAACCATGTCCCACTCATTTATGTATCTCAAACACTTTAATTAAAGTAATGCAGACTGAACACTTGAGAAATCACAAAACACTACTTTCTAAAGATTTGTCTTTCAGTAACACAAATATAACCAATTTTTCCAATCAGGGTGAATGCCCAGCTACCGTTTTCTTGACAAATGCTTCTTTTTATATTCATTATTTTACAATCTCTATCATAACTTTTCACAAGCTTTCTCACCACCAGTGTCATGGATATGATCTACAACTGAGCTGAAAGTAAAACTTGTGGTCAGACTGTAACTACTGAGCTGTAAAACCAAAATGGAAAAGAAAACACTGTTTGTAAAGAGACAGCTAAATTAGATGTTTTAGAATCTGTTTTCCAACATTTTCAGAGTACCTGTCAAAAATTAAAATCCAGTGGAACTATTTATTGCCATAAAACTTGGGTTCCTTCAAGAAACACACATACAGTATATCACCCACTGCCTGCCAACATGTTTAAAGGGACTTCTCTCTTTGACTACCATGCCAAACTTTAGCTCAATATTTATAAAATTTTACTGGGTTATAACCATTTTTGTGTTTGCTAAGTTTGACTAGCTGTGTTGTCCATCTTGAATCAGGCTTACTCCAACAGCTGTACATCCTGTGATTACTTTCTAAGAGTTCATTTAAAATATGTCCAGTGGTTTAGGGGATATTATGCTTACAGTCAGGGTTGAAACCAGCCACTAGGGAGCAAGACAGACAAGACAGTGTTGAGACCAGCTATATTGTATGGTCTGGAGACAGTGGCACTGACAAAAAGACAAAAGAAAGAACTGGAAGTGCCAGAAATGAAGATGTTGAGGTTCTTCTTAGGAGTGACAAGGATGGATAAGATTAGGAAGGAGATCATCAGAGGTACAGCACAGGTTGAACAACTGGGAGATAAAGTTAGAGAGACCAGACTGAGATGGTTTGGACATGTCCAGAGGAGGGACAGTGGGTATATTGGTAGAAGGACGTTAGAAATGCAGCTGCCAGGAAAAAGACAAAAAGGAAGGCCAAAGAGGAGATACATTGATGCAGTTAAAGAGGACATGGAGGTAGTTTGAGTGAGGACAGAGGATGCAGAGGACAGAGTGAGATGGAGGAGGATGACTCGCTGTAGCGACCCCTGAAGAGGGAAAATCCGAAAGAAGAAGAAGAAGAAGGTGCTTACAGTCAGGATTGACTCCACATAATGCCAAAGTTTTATAGTCCTTTTTGTGTTAGCTAAGGTTGATGACATGCAATGATTACTTTCTGAGAACTTTACTAAAATCTGTTTAGCACGACAGATGTGATGAGATGTTTTGCTAACAACAGACAAAAAAAAAAAACATACATGCCCATGCACACATTTGTTTTCCCCAATCTGCATTTTAGTTATGCGCATATTACACTTTCAAGACTTAGTGCAAAGATTGCTGCAACAGAAGTGACAACTTCTGTCATTGCTTATCTATAAGTAAAAGACCGTGAGATCAGATATAAACTGATTTTTAACAAGCCTAATTCATAAAACTTGGTTTAATTGTCCTGCAAACACCACAAGTTTCTCCATTTGGAACATCAAGCTTGTGTTTCACTTTCACTTCATCAAACCTACGACCAGTTAATAGTATGGAGCATTAAAACAGTCAGGTCACTATCAGATAAAATTTCAATACAACGTTCAAAAAGTTTCAAAATCCACAAATCACTCCCACGTTCTCACTACCTTCCCCATCATTACTCACCAAGGTAGTTTCTGCTCTTCACCATCTCCGTCACGTTGATCTTCGTGGCTCCCTCTGGGATCTCCACTATTCTGTGGTAGCCGATCTTGGACAAACTGTGTCTGAAGACTCCTGAGACGAGCCTGCAGGTTGAGTTGTCCCCTCCACAAACGCCGCATTTGTCTATCACCTTCCCTGACCCCAGATACTCATCACAGCCGAGACTCTGGGGAAAACAGGAGAGGAAGTTGAGACCTGCTTGAGTGATGAGCATTACACAATAAAACTCATGAAGATAAAGACTCCTCCTTCCAATATTCAGGATGTGGTGACACATATGAGCTGCTTTAAAAATAGTTACTAAGGACTGCAATATAAGATTTACACAGTTTGACCTGTCAAATTAACGCCATACATCCTCAAAACTGACAGAAATAAACACAAATGATTTGCTTAAATTCCTTTTACCTTCCAAGAGGCAAATTTTAATGTAACTGCCTTTGAATTAATCCCAAGTTTTTCTTCATATTTCTGTAGGATGTGAGTTTTCTGTTACACATTAGAGGTAATAAATTACAGGAAATCTGGACGTGGTAAAAAAAACCAGAGCCTCAACAGTCCACAAATGTTCTCAAACCAGCTGTAACAGCAGCGCACTGTGCAAACAGGTGTTCACTGAGCCAGAACTGGATGCATCGAGCCACCATCCAGTCAAACACAGAACGCTGAGGCCATCACTTATCTTCAAGACGTCCAACACAAACATTTATTCTTACCTGGCCTCCGTGTCGAACCACTGACTGCAGCTGACGTAGTCTTTTTGCTTTGTGTTATACCACAAACCTCCCTCCATCAGGGGTAATCCTTAAACACCAACATGACTGCAATAACTCCTTCAACAACACAAACTTTGTCTAGATTTTGAGCTATCCACATGTACCCGAGGTGGCAAACATAACTCTAAAGACAAAGGGCCGAAACAAATTTACAGGACGTCAACAATAATTCATGCATGCTCTGGTAATCTCAACGGATTTTGCAGTCCTCGAGGAAACCCATAAATCCGCAGCAAACATACAGCAATAAGAGGATAAACAGGTGGACAAAGGTATAGAAAAGGGTTGAAAAGGAGGCGAAAGATGAGGTCTGAGCCAGGTAGGCCGCCCCTCTCCTACCCGTGGTGTTTCATTTTGATCTTCGCCAAAACAAACACAAAGTGCCTCCTTTCACACAGGAAATAGTAAATGATGGAAAAATAGAAGAGGGAAAACAAGAGTGCTGAAAAAAAGAGAACTCTTGGATACTGTGGTCAGTTTTGCAGCTGAAGGTTTGCAGCCGAAGAACTGCTAGATTTTATGATCTCACTTTACGGATAAGGAAATTCGAGACAATAAAGGCCGCAGTCTGCGTGTGAAATGATTCATAAAGTACAACACGTCTGAGGTCACTTTATGTAGCTAGTACAGTATGTCTACTGCTAAAAGAAGAAAATACATTATAGCATATTATAATATATAGTAATAGCCTATCATTTCTTGAGTGAATGCATTTTCCCAACGACATGTCATGTCAGAGTTTTTAAATTATCTTCTGAGAAATAACGACAGCGTTGTAGCTGTTTCGGTCAAATCTTGAAAGTACTGTTACGCATAATCTCTGCAATAATTTAAGATGTCATATTCAGTGTATGTGTTGTTAATGACTCACAGCTACTACCATTTATTTTACATCAATATGTGTCAAATTTACTGAGTTATAGAATTCTTTGTTTGAGTGTGCATTAGCTGAGCAGCCACTTTGAATTGGATTAAATCCTAACTTTAATCTGTTGTAGAGGTACAACCATTCATTACATTAATGGCGAGAGGTTAAAGTTCATGCTCAATAATCCAGGTAAAAAATCCAACAAAGTTAAGTCAGGTCCTCTGGACGGTTTCTCTTTTTTTTTGTTTGTTGTTGAAACGTTTCATCCTTCATCCAAAGGACTTCCTCATGGATTGGATGAGCAATGGTGCAAATCTTGGATTTTTTTTTTTTTACCTGGATTATTGAGCATGGACTTTGATGTTTTGAACCACTTTGGCTACGGGTGCCTCAGAGGAGTCAACGGGAGAGAGGGTGGACGCCAGAAACCATCTTATCATCATAAAACTAATTGGCCCACTATGTGAGTGTGCTGCTTATGGGACTGAGCTTGCTGTGGCTCCTCGGACTGAAGAAGTCCTTTGGATGATGGACGAAATGTTTAGACAAAAAAAGAAACCATCCAGAGGACCTGACTTAACTTTGTTGGGTTATCTTTAGCCGTTGTGGTGGGAAAATGTTAAAACACATTAAAGCAGAAGTGGAAACAAAAAAGTTAAGTTTTGATTCAAAATATGAAAAAAAAAAATACTGTAATATCTTAAGACTAAGCATTAAAAAAGGATTTTCATTCCTCTGAGAAGAAAAGACCCAAGCAGTCGTTACTCTTACTGTGCAGAAATAATTTGAATGTTTAGAAACGTTTTGATATTCAGTGATTTTATTAGCTGCATTCATTAAATCAGCAACTTAAAGACGAGTTCATCAGTCTGAGCGGTCATGCAAATGTACTATTTATTCTTGACTTAGCTTTGAATTAGACAAATGTGCCCTGCAGGCTGTCTATGATAAATCTGACCTCAACTGTGAACTCCTCAACACAAGAGGTTTCTGGTGACAGGACGTACGAGCGCAGGCATCTACAGTTCAATTAAAATGTTAATGGCTCATAACAGCAGAGCTTAGTGATGTAGACGTAGGCTTTTGGTTTCTTCACTCTGAGACCACATCAGTGTTGTTATTTCTTCACACTCTTCGTGGGTGGCTTACAGCACATGGAAAAAAATCACTGTTTTCAGTGGAAATAAAACAACATTTTTTAATGTCACTAAAGCCCACTTTCATCTGGAAGTGGTTACATGTGCCAGTATGGAAGAGTGGCCTTCCAGTCGAGCTGTGAACCTAGAAACCATCATCTTGAAGTAAATCCTGATGATTCTTTCCCACACGATGAAGATGAGTTTTAAAGCTATCTTACAGCAAACTTCCTGTAACAAACTGTACTCGCACGCAAGGAGAAACCAGAGATGGTAATAACAGAAAACACAGCAAGACGTTCAGAACCGGACTGTCATAGTAACGGGGTTTCAGATTGTTGTTGTTTTTTTTTTTTTATCTACAAGTTTGTCCACGATGCTCTGCAGCTTTGGAGCTTTAATGTTTCAAGAGTGAAAATTAAAGTAGCAAGAAAATTTGGTGGATCTGATGCTCAGCGATAAGATAATAAGCTGCCAAAGGAACTGTGCACGTTAGGTTTAAGGGCCAAAAGCACATGTGTGAGCTCATGTTAGGACTTTAAAAAGGCAAACAGCTCTTACTCTTTTATTTTCTTTGACATCCTAAAATAAATCTGTGGGTGTACGCTAACCAGAAAAAGAAAGGCTTAGAAATGTATTCCCATGCCGTTATTTTAGTACAAAGAGAGTTGTTTTTTTCAAGATAAAACTAGCTTGGTTGGAACAAAATAGTGAAAAAAAAAACAATTGCTTAGTTTATGGTAAATTCTTCATCTTTTCACATTTGGTTTATTACTAAAATTACCTCCTAACTGTGACTTGCATAACTGCAAAGCTAAAGAGTTGGATTTTATGTTTTATTTTACAACTATCATCAAAGTAGTGTTATAATTACTGACGGGATTTGAACGAGTACGTTACCTCAAAACAACAGATAGTAAAATTCTAAATAAATAAAAAAATGAAAGGCCTATCAATCCTTTTAAAAAATGCATATTACCAACCACCTCAGTTATAATCTAAGACCATCTTGTGTTGATAAATGACAAAGTTTTAGTCATTTTGGTCAAATGCTGAAAATAAATCTTCACACTCATGTAACTTGTGATATTTTATGAGATCTCACTCTGTTACTCGGATGTGTTCGGGATGACTCTCAACTACTTCCACAACAAAGTTTACTTCAATATCTGTAACAGTGACTGGGTTATAGTCATTTTTATTTTGTCTAAGGCCAATTGGCTGTGGTGGCCATCTTGACATGGGTTGATTTCAAAGGTTAATCATGAACATATAAAGGTTACTCTCTCAAAGTTTCATAAACTCAATCCACTGGCTCATGGCTATCAGCACGTTGATGGTGGAGGGCACAATTATTTAAAAATGATCTATTACTGTTATTAAAACCAGCCTTTTAGAAAGCTAATATTACTTTGTCTACCTTAGCTGTTTAACTAAATGACATTTTCTTGTCTTGATTTACTGCAGCAGCAATGAGAGACATCTGAAGGTGTCTATGTGAGCAATGTGATGCTGTCTGCATTAGTGAGTGTGCAGGGTGCTCTGAAAACTTCTCTGAAATTATCTTTAAAGCAACAGGAAGTAGAAAAAAAACTTTAACTGTATTGTGAAAAGGAGCACAACTTAAATGATTTCCTCAGCTCCTTTGTCTAACATGTCAGCATGTGTCTGTAAAAACTAATACTATATGTCTGTTTTTCTAAGTACAGTGTGTGCCAGTAAAAAATAAACTGAGGAAATTGTGAGAGATTTGTGTCAAACATGAAAACCTACACAGGTACAATGACAAGGTAGTGTTACAAAGAAGATCAACCTCATTCTGACAGCTCTTATGTAATGTCACAGCATCAATCCCATAAACTTCTGATCCACTCGGGGGACCTGCTGTGTGGCTCCACCCTATGAATGTAACATGCTTTAAAAAGCTGATGGTTGATGGATGAAAGCTGATGAGATCAGGAATGAATTCACAGCAACATTAAATGAAACACAAGCTTTCTACTCTCCACTCTTACTTCACTTTATGGAGGTAAATTCTGTTAAGATTATGGTGTGATGAAAACTTATTGATACTTGAACTTCTTTGTACATCTTTTATAAAGCGTGTTTTGGGTAGTTGCCATGTGACATGATTCATTATATGGACAAAGGGTTTTTGTGACGCCTGTTCGTTGTTGAATTCAGGTGGTTGAGTTTGTCTTATATCCTGTGAGAGGGTATCTTAATGTTTCAGCATACAAAGACATTTTGAACGATGTTGTGCTTCCTACACGTTGAAGAAGGCCCTTTCTTCTTCCAACATGTCTGCACCCCAATTCACAAAGCAAGGACTACAAAGAGCACCTTTATGATCTGGAACGGAAATTGTGAGCCAGATGTTTTCATC